TAGAGCTTTTATACACATTTTTAAAAAAATTTCGTGATCAAGACTTCTTATTTCAAGATGGAGTGGAAAAAAAAACAAAACAAACACCAACAAAAGGAATTCATGCTAATAACTCAATGCTTTTAATTCAGTACTTACAGTTTGACTAAGACAAAAATTGTGGCAAGAAAATGTAAGCAAACTTTGTTGCAACAGAAATTTAGGAAGCTCTCTGGCTGTTAAGTTTTGGGGTGTTTTTTTCCTAAGTATTAAATACAATTCAAAGCTACACTCAGAGTAACTATTTTGTTTGATAAATTCTGGTTGCTAGTAGAAGCTTTTGTTTGTTTTTTCATAGAAAATGAATTCTGTTTAGCTGTCCCTGATGTTTTTTAGAAATATTGAAGTTTTTTTCTTACTACAGTTTTTATTTATAAACATTTTACAGTTTCATGTATGCTGTTGTCACAAAAGGCCATTTGTAAACTGCATTGTAAAATGCATATTTTTCCAATGTGCATTTATTTATTTTGTAGTATACTTTAAAAGTCTGGAATAATGATAATGCATTCTAGGAAAAAACATTGTGTAAAAGTTTTCCTCTGTTTTAATATGTTGTTTTCTGCTATTTAGGCAGATGATGTCAGCGCGTTATTGACAGCAGCAATGCCTCCTTCCGCCTTACCGACTTGCTACAAACCTCAGGTTATAAGTGTGTCTCAGACTACAGGTTCTACAGCTGATTCTCTGTCTTCCGTTCCATCCAGTCCATCCAGTCTGTCTGCTGCAAGTAGTCTTGACAACTTGTCTGGTAGTTTTTCTGAACTTCCTTCTGTTGTTGGTACAAACAGTGCAGAGGGAGCTACTGTTCTGGAGAAAAAAGAAGGTGAGGCTTTCTCAGGAATGAGTAACATTTTCTACCATATGGTAAAAAGAATACACAAGCAGGAAGTTTCCCACACATGCACATGGTTACTATGACATAAGCAGTATCCCTTTTCCTTATGATGTCATTAACAAGGAACAGAAGTCTAAAAGTCTTGCAGTATAAAATTTTAGTACTTTCCCCTTACATAATCTTTAAAATGTTGCCTTTTTGCTATACAGAATCAAAATGGTGGATTGTGTTTTGAAAGTGAATGAAATTTGGCTCCATACCAAGCAGTGGTTTACTACAAACTTTATTTGGTTTCTAAGAGGCTCTTCTTAACATCTGTAGCATAGTAGTTCTCAAAATATTTTCTGTTTGCATATTTCTGGTAGCTAGTCAGTTGCTTATTTCATGAAAGTGCAAAGACTTCTCTTGAGGGAGGCAGAAATCTTCGAGTACGAGGGTAGATTAAGTAATAGTTGCTGTTGGTTAGTGATATAGATACTTATTCCCCATCTTCAGAAGACCGATAATTTCTGTCTCTCGTTATTGCCTCAGACAGTGTGAGATGTGTATACTGGACTTTACAATACATATATGAATGTTCATTGTGATTTTTTTTTTTCTTTGCCAGTTTCAAGTGTAGATTTTAGCATAAATCAGTTCGTGCGGAACCTTGGCCTTGAACATCTCATTGACATATTCGAGAGAGAACAGGTAAGTAGCTATATTTCTTTGCAGATACTCAGCTAGAAAGCAAAGGAATAAATACTCACTGTTCAGAATAACGTAATGAGACATTTAAAATGAGTGAATATCCAAATGAATTGAATGAAGGAAAGGAGTGTAACTGTGGATTTTTTAATTGGTATATAAAAATTAAAATATATGTATATATAAAAAACTGAGGCAGTAATGTCTATATCAGTTTGAGAGTGTAGACATGTTTTCTTCCAGTGGTATAAATGGCAGAGTAAATAAGTATTCAGTGTTGATCAGTAATTTCTGGTTTTGTTTCTGTTGCCTTGAATACACCTAGAAAATAGTATTTCTCAATCAGAAACATGATCCTTGCAAGCAGTATGAGCTGCATGATTGGAGCATATTTATTTAAAGACAAAAGTTTGGAGAAAACAGTTGAGTAGAAGTAAAGTATGCAAATAATACATTAAAATCTCCAGTGTTCATATGTTCTTTTTACACTTACTTTTTATCTCAACTATTGTGAGGTATGTTTTCACTGTAATTGGCAGCTGGTTTAGCCTGTTGATGCAGTTGTACAAAAAAAATGGTGTTGCTTTCATTGTAGATAACATTGGATGTACTGGTTGAAATGGGACACAAAGAATTGAAGGAAATTGGAATTAATGCTTATGGCCATAGGCATAAAATCATTAAAGGAGTTGAAAGACTCATTTCTGGACAGCAAGGTATATACTTGTTTCAAATTATTATGTAACAGTGCCTTTATAGAATCTGTTTTTATAAATGCTTTAGATTATTCCAAATTGTATCTCATTAAAAATAATTTCTAATAAAACTTGTCCTAGAAAATGGCACTTCAGATAATGTCTTCTGACTTGAAATATGAGCACCTTTATTTGTCCTATGACTTACTGTGTATCTTGCTTTCAGTTATCTAATTTTTTATTTTCCTTCGTAATCACTGTTTTGTGTGTACTTAGGTGAAGTGTAGATCTAGTGCAAAATGATTGTAAGCTCCTTGAGGTAGGGAGTATTTATTTTCATTGGAGCACTGGAGAGCAGGGCATATTCTCTGTTGATGGGTTAGGACCTGTTTTGTTCCATTGAGTTCTGCAAAAGAATACTATGTTTGTTCTCTCAGAAAGCCAGCTGAAATTCTTACTTATACTTTTCTTTAAAAATACAGTTTGTGTGCTTCCAGTGAACCAAAATTAACATAATTGGTTTGTTTAAAAACTTCAGCTTGTATTGAAGTTTATGCTAAAGCCTCTTTATTTGTGCAGCACCGTTGATACCAGCACAATCCTGGCAATAGTACTCTTCATTTAACTATGGCTGCATAAGAGACAAAAAACAAACAAACCTTTTTTCCCTTCCTTGTCTCACTGAAACATCACTTGCTATTGTTTTGCTGTGTTTCATAGAAATTGAATAAATTAGTTAGAATTGGTAGGACTTTTTTCCCTCTTGAGACAAAATCTGTGAATTCTCATTCTAAAATCTGCACTCCATAGTAATGAGACAGTCACTATCCCAAGCTCTAAATTATTTTTTGCTCCTTAAAACAGTATTAACCAACCCTTAAGATGATCCTTTTCCTAGTAATGGAAGTATTTAGGTGAATTTTCATAATTTTGTCTTAATTATCAGATGGTTTTTGACAGATTCATTTAGTATTTTGGATAGAAGTTGCTTTTAAGGTATCATTTCAGCCTCATGTCTTGTTTGAGTTCTAAGTTTACACAGCCAGTAATCATATACTGGTTTTGTCTTTCAATTAGGACTGATGTATTTTTTAACATACGTATATTTGTGCTTATTTTAATATGTCTGTATATAGAATGTCAAACATCTGAATCTTTCACCACTCCTACCCCCCTTCTTTCTAGTCTGTTTAGTCTTTTGCTGTCTTGCTATAGAAGGCCTGATATTTTCATTTTTAACAGTAATCACAGGTGTAAGTACTTAAACTGAGTATTTCAACTGCTTTTAATTTTTTTTTTAGGATGCGTTTTTGGAGCAGGGAGGATTGTTGTTGTTCAGTTGTTTTCTCAATTTTTTATATCTTGCCCTTGTGCTTTTGCACTCAAGTATGTTTGTACTGGTATTTTGGCATCTCTTCCTGAACACAGTATAGCCATTACTTTGAGGTTAGTTGGGCTTTTGTGAAAGAGCTTTATTTGTTGCTTCCTTGTCAGAGTTTCTTGCTCCTGAACACTCTATTCAGTTTCACACTGCTAACAAGAGGCTCTTGACTGTGGATGAATCTATAATTTCCCTTTTCCTTACATTATTCCTTTCTAGAGAGATTGACAGGGCCAGCATCTGGCTCTGGTCGCCTGCTGTTTGTCTGGGAAGGCCATGGGCAAAAGGACACCTGATACACACTGTCTTTGTGTTCTTATCTCCATTGGTTACATTCCCATTACTTGCCAGTTGTGATTGAAGATGGAAATTGACAATGGATTATGCATAAAATTCCAATTTATTTTTTTTTTTTGCGTATTTGGAATGATAGGGAAGTTTTCTTTAAGTGTTCAGTGTCCTTTAGGCATTCAATATCAGGCTCGAGTCTTTTAGACTCATGGACTGTCTTAGTTCTGTTGTCAGGTCTTTCTGAATGATCCATGGGAAGAATATTCCTACTGATGAGCACTTCAAGTCAATTATCTTGTCCATAATGCCATCAGTAGTCATGGGCTCTGTACAGGGGCAGGCTGCTCACTGTTTCACTGCCTAGAATTGAAAGGAACAAGATCTTAAGTAAGCAACTACTTACATAGAATTTCGCTATCATGTATATTAATATATTGAGCTAAGCACAGACAAATGGGTTAGTGTGTCTAAAATGTGTATTGTTACTGAGAGAATGATGGATCAGTACCCACAGATGAATGAAAATGAGTCGTTGATCTGCATCAGACCCAGCTGCTGTGCTCTCATGGCATTTATAGTGTACGTGTCGTAACGGATGGGTAGAGGCTATAAACAGACGTTGAAAAATTTTGACTAATGCAATTTGTTGAGGGATTGCTTTTTGACATTTGCAAAAATATATGTGGCTCATGAAGTAAAGTAATTGGTAATCTCAGCCTTCCTTAGCAGCTAACCTCTTCATTTTGTAAGCTGAGTTTTGAGAAAATGGTCCCTTGAAAAAGAAAAATCTCCTACTGGTTATCGTTACAAACCAGCAGTCTTAAAGCAGTTTCTGATCTGTTCTTGTGTTTTGTTACATTCACAGGACTTAACCCATACCTGACTCTAAATACTTCTGGTAGTGGAACAATTCTCATAGATCTTTCCACTGAAGATAAGGAATTCCAGTCAGTAGAAGAGGAGGTATGCCTTTCTTTGTAGTCTTTCAGAATTTTTGTTACTTCTCCTAAAGAGGTAGATGAAGGAGTATTGTTAGACAGTTTAACAGCGCAGTAAATATCTCTAAGCCTAAGAGAAACTTGCATGAAGATACTTCAGATTTCCAACTTTGACTATACCACTTAGAAGCTGTGCTTGTGACATCCCTTTTTTTATGTTATTACTGCTAGTAGTGTTTTTAAAAACTCTGCTATAAAAGCTCTTTGATATAACATATATAAATTCTGTGCCACCAATTGCCTGTCTGTTAGACATAGTTTTAAGTCACTTCTTTCCAAAGTGTCATAATCACACAGGACTAAATTCTGAAGAAAAAAATATTCTAATTAAATTAGTGACAGTCTTTTTATGTTTGAAAACTGGACCATGGACTATTCAAGGTATGTTTTTTTAAAAAAATCATTAAACCTGTTCATGTGCATCTGCAAAATCTGGCATTACTTACCACTCAGTCGTTGCCTAAACAACTCTTGTACGAGTTTTTTTAGGACAAGGTTATTTGACTGTGTGAAGGATGCGTGTTCTGAATGTGTTCTGAAGCAAGGTGATCCTCCTTAAAATTCTCAATTTTCAGATGCAGAGTACTGTCCGAGAGCACAGAGATGGAGGACATGCTGGTGGAGTCTTCAATAGATACAATATCTTAAAGGTAGCTGTTGCATTTTTGTGGTTGATGGTTACACCTTTAGAGTTTTGGCTGAAAATAAAATGTCCATAAAATGTTCTACATTTATTTGTTGAGTTTCCTAATATGACAAGATGTGACATTCTGAGACACACACAGGAAAAATATAATCTTCCAGGAAAATTCAGAGAATAAGATTATATGGGAAAACTGCTTATGGATTAATAGTTATTAAGAAATCTTGTGAGAAATTGACATAGAAGGACCTCACAGAAAACTGCAGAATGTTTGAAGGAAAAGGTTTTAGAGGAAACAAAGGATGGTTTTTGTTGAGGGAATGGCAGGGGAAAAAATAGCTATAAGTGAAAGCAAAATTTGTAGCATGGTTGTAGGGATACCTATTATAGACTGATTTAAAGCCAAAGAAGCTTAAAACTCCAGGAAGTAGATAATGTTGGTTTAAATTCTATAGTGAGCTTTTTGTTTGCATTCATATTTTTCCCACCTGGAGAAATCATCATGTTCATGAAAATTACAGGTTTTGATTCGCAAGTAAGTAGTACTAAGTTTTATTCTAAACTGCTGTTACAGTTTCCCCAGTAGAATAGATATGCTATGTCTAGACACATAAGGCTTTGCCAGTGTCCAGCATACCTCTGCAGGGAGTACGTAATTTACTTATTTTAAAAGTGGTTTAGGAGTCTTCATGAAAGACGCTTCTTAATTACTAAATGATATTTTTACTAGTGGTTTGGCATCAAGTGAGATGCAGTGATACTCAAGGACAATTGTGACTAAGCCTGCTAAATTTAAATTAAGACATATTGCTCAACAGATATTTAAAATTAGTTTATTCTTAATTAAGCATATAATCATTATTAAGTTATGCTACAACAATCAACTTCTGCAGGATAAGTTGGAGAATTTGTTTCATTCAGTTCTAAGAAGAATATTCTTGCTTTGTGGCAGTTTAGAGAAGTGTATTGTATAGCTACTATATTTTAAAGATCTGTCAAGTAAAGCAAATAAGTTCAGTTTCAGAGTGGAACTTAAATTTTTTACTATTTCAGATTCAGAAAGTGTGCAACAAAAAACTGTGGGAAAGATACACTCACAGGAGGAAAGAGGTCTCTGAAGAGAATCATAACCACGCTAATGAAAGAATGCTGTTTCATGGTAAGATGTTGAAATGCACCTTGTGAACTTGTTTCACCATCAACGTTCCTTAGAGGAGAGTTTCTGCTGGCTCAAACTAAGTAAATTTTCACACTGGAAATACATACTAGGTTTTGTCTCAGTTTTGTACTAACAAGTGTTTGTATATGTCACAGTGGGGATAGATAACAAACTGCATCTTTCTTCTGAAATTTACATCTCCTTGTCTTTCCCTGGAGGAAACTTCAAAGATCTAAGTGAAAACATTTTAGCAATTATGAATGGAGATTAAGGGGTGTGCCTCTTCATTGGTTAAATTACTATTTCTGTTTTATTGGCTTTATGACCAAAATTACTAAGGATCAAATTTCATTTTGCTATGGGTTGTTTTGAGGTTTGGGGTGGGATTTTTTTGTTTCCTTGTTTTTATAATTCGATAAGTTAGTTCTTGTTCATCATTCCAGAAAAAATAGCTTATAATTAGCAAATTAAAGCCAATTGAAAGCTGTCCTGTGCATAAATACGTAGTTTGTTGTGACACACAAATGAAGCAAGTTCACTGTACTGCCCAAACTTGTAGATACTAAATCCTGTCTTTTCACTGTGATCTATACCCTTTCAAGAGGAAACTGCCTCTTAATGGAATGACCTGTCTTTAAAGGAAAGTCTTTTAAATAAGTTAGATAACAAAATTATGCCTGGAACAAAGCAATTGATGGCTTATGAGAGCTCTATATTTTTGGTTTTTAAAGTCTTAGGATTTGGGGAGTGGTGGGTTGGGTTTTTTTTGTTTGGTTGGTTGGTTAGTTGTTTGGGGTTTTTTTTAGAGCATTAACATGGGTCTTTTAACCACATACGCAACTTGCAGAAGATGAAGAACAGTTGTCTTAGGCATTTTTCATTCTTATCTGGAGTGTCCTTCTGCTTCATATAAGGTTTTATCATCTATGCTGGAGGTTAAGGCTTTGGATTATTTTCACTGGAATTCCCAACATAACTGTGAAATGACATCTTCTCTTAGAACAGCTTTTCTCTAAAGGTGCTTTCATATTTACATATACTGTTATAAAAATCCTTACTGAAAAAACCTGCTCTTGTTATGGAAGTTGATGGGTATTGGGTGTCTCAAGATGCAGAATCCAACCCTTTTCAACAGGTTATTCTTAAGGCTAAATTCTATGACTACTGCAAATAAATAAATACTGGTTTATGTTTATTGCTTTTCAAATGCAGTCTACTTAGTGTTAGGAAGAAAGTGGGATTTGTATAGCAATGCATTCAAAGAATCTTGGTTAGAAGGGAGTTCTGCCAAAGGGAGTGCAGATTCATAGAGCTTCTCCTGCATCAGGAGTTGCCTCAGATACTATCCTTTGTAAATCTTTGTTAAAAATGTATGCTTATCAACTACTGTCCTTTGTATAACACAACTAGGAAAATGGTCATGCAAATCTGAGATCAGTTTCTGGAGACTGATTTCCTTGCATGTGTGGAAAAACTGTACAAAAAGTCAGGGAATGGCTGTTCGAATTATGACACATACAAAAATCTCTATATACTGTATCTTCAATATTTTACTTCCTTTGTTTTAGGCTCCCCATTTGTGAATGCAATCATTCACAAAGGCTTTGATGAGAGACATGCCTATATAGGTGGTATGTTTGGAGCTGGGATTTATTTTGCTGAAAACTCTTCCAAAAGCAATCAGTACGTCTATGGAATCGGAGGTGGCACTGGCTGTCCAATTCACAAAGATAGATCTTGTTATGTTTGCCACAGGTAAGTCATTCAAAAGAATCTAATTTTGCCTTAGTGTCTTTTGTTACAGACTGTCAAGTCAGCAGAGTCTCTGAGGAAAGATTTGTTTGGTAAACAAACATTCTGGCACTCCCTATATGCTGAGCCTAATAGAGACTTCCAGAAAACTTTGCTATTTAAGTCTTAAAGGTTCCTTAACCATCTTCAGTGCATTTAACCAAATCTTTGCCCTTAATTTACTGTAAAAATTAGACATAAGTAGCTTGAGAGTGAAGAGGACCTGCTAGATGCTTGTGTGAAAGATGCAGCAATATGAGGGTTCAGTCCATTGCCTGTATTTCTTTGAGAAGGACATACTTTTTAACAATCAGCCCCCACATCACTGCTGCTTCATACACTAAAATATAGATGCAAATTTGTGGATTCCCTACTCTGATGAGTTCCTAAATCCGCTTTTCTGCAGAACTCCTGTTACATCTTAATGTAACATGAGTTAACGTAGCTCTTACTTCATGGAGTTAATTGTGGTAGTGGCCATCATTTTGACCAGGAGAATAATTTGTGTATTTGTCTACATACTGTTTTGCATTGGTATCACAGGGATAAGCTCATTCTTCCAGTTTCCTTCATTGAATCTCTGCCCCTTTTCATACTGCTTACTCTTTTCTGGCACTCTCAAATAAAGATCGTAATCTTCTAGAGTTACAGAGGATGTCAGAATCTTTTCTTGCTTTCTGAAGTTTTGAGTAAGAAAGTTTCTTAATTTGCTTTGTCTGAAGAGTTAGAAAAGCAAAAATAAGTACCCTTGTTCTGTCTTTTTATAATGAAAACAACATAATGTACTGACAGATGCTATTATGAGGTATTTCGTGTTGACCTAGAGTTTGCACTTGGCCTTGATTTGTCTGTTAGAAACAAATCCAGTGTCAGAACACAGTGAATTATGTTGTTAGTGTGAGTGATGGGGGGGCACTCTCAGAAAACTTTTTTGAAAAGCAAACAAATTTAAAAAAAAAAAAACCACACTAAAAGGGTAGTGAAAATCTTTGAGTACATTGTTAAGCATGGAAACTGCTGTTTCCAGTAATTAAGATAAACATTTTTCAATATTATTACCAACCCTCCTCAGGCTAAAGAGCTTTTCCAAAGGGAGTGTTACTTTTGTCCTTCAAAACAAAACTTTGGAATTTTGTGAACTACAAAGAATGACAAAAGTGGCTTTAAAATTCCGCTGTTCTCCTCAAGCAAAAGTTTCACATTACGAAGGTAAGTCTTCCTGGAGTTTCCCAAGCGTTTGGTATTCATGGTCCTTTTTCCCTTCTAAAACAGGCAGTTGCTCTTCTGTCGTGTAACACTGGGCAAGTCTTTCCTGCAGTTCAGTGCGATGAAAATGGCTCATTCACCCCCAGGACATCACTCAGTTACGGGGCGACCCAGTGTAAATGGATTGGCATTGGCAGAATATGTCATTTACAGAGGGGAGCAGGTAAATAGCTTTTTTGGTTTTTCAGATTTTTTTTTCCTAAAGGCATGTAACGTGTTGGGGTTTTTTTCTTATTTTTGAGGTGCTAGGACTTGTTTTTGTCTTAAAACAAACTCCAGCTGTGGTTGCAAGTGAAAGGATCCATGTTTCCTAAATGCTTCAGGCATTTTGCCTTTGACATTTTGCTTTTTTTTCTTTGGCATAAATACTTTTTTCCCCTTCTCTAGCAAATATTCTGAATTTATCCAGAAAATGAAATCATAATAAAGAACATGTATGTCACTCTTTCAGGCTTATCCAGAATACTTGATTACTTACCAGATTATGAAACCTGAAGCCACCACTGAAGCTTAAGACAAATTACTTGCAGGAGACCATCAGACTTTGGATGCGAAGATACCAATGGCTGCCATCCTGTTAATTATGAGTTGTTGAAAATATTTCGTCCACAGGTGGTGTGGTAGCAAATGTGAACAAAATATACCATTTTTGACTTGATAAAGCTTTAATAATGTACAGTATGTTTTTCTAAAATTTCAGAAATGTCCTCTTTTTTCAGCACTTTAACAGATACCATTCCAGGCATAAACTGGGGTTTGGCTGTACTAAATTATAAACAAAAGTTAACTTGAAACAATGGTTTTATACAATACTACATTGAAATTTAGCAGAAATTGTAATGCTCTATACAGGAACTCATTTTACTAATACTGTGTTCTTTAAAACACTGCATTTACACTGAAAATGTTTTCATTTGTAAAACTGTAAATAAGAGCTTTTGTACTAGCCTGGTATTTATTTACATTGCTTTGTAATATAAGTGTTTTAGAACTGCAACCTTGTACAAAATGTTTTTTTCCAGATGTTGGTTTGTTCTCCTGTGTATTCTCATGCACAATAGATTTGAAAAGCCGGGGTTTTTTCCAAGATTTATCACTTACTTGTGAGGGCAGAAGCAAATTTTATCTGAAGAGGTTTAGAAATATCCAACTTTAGAATACGCAAATTTTTGTTCTGTATTTTTATTTATGAAATATACATTCCTGAGAATTATGGGCTATGAAAAGAGAGTGTTCCAGCTAAATACTAAAGTGTTTTTCCACCTACTTCCTAGAGTTACATATTTTATTTCTGTAAAATGTCTTCTGAAGTTTTTTATTTAACTATAAGTGTAGTTAACCTGTATCCTCACTTCAAGGCTAGTAGACCTTGCAAGTTACAGTTTTAGTAAATTATTTTCCTTGAATGTAGTTGGAAAATTAACCTCAAGGAGGTCTTTCTTGAGTTCCTCTTGCTTACATTTAAGCCAAGAAGTTAAATAGTTTATTCCTAATACGAGGGCAAACAACTTGGCCTTTTTTTGTATGCTTATTTTGGTAAATTAATCTACCTGTTGGTGCCCTCGGGATATGAGATGGAAATGTTAAAAGCCATCCTGTCATCTCCTGTGTTTCTTCCATGTTAACATTCTAGCTGTAGTTGAAGCAGGTGTGTCGAAGTGTGTGTATCTGCAGTGCTTTTGGCTGAGTAGCACTGGTTGGGTGCAAGGTTCTGTTCAGCCAGCTGGGCGAGGAGTGTGTAAGAGGGATGAGCAGCTCTTCCAGGGCAGCAGCTGCCTTCGGTAGCCCTGACAAGACCCCTTGGGTGGAGGAGGAGTATAAAAGTTTATCCCCCTGTTCGAGTCTCCTTCAGGGTTACTGAATGCACCAGTCAGTTCAGTCAGCCCTGTCGTGTCTCTCTGTGTTCTGCTTCTCTTCCATCTGCAGTTTTTACCTACATATTTCAAAAATATGTAAATACAAATTATAGTTCATTTGGGGTTAAAGTGGTTAGGAGTATATTTTAGTTGTTTCATATTTCTACATACAGGACACTGTCCCAGGAGACAATTTGTTTGCAGGGCATGTTATCATACCCATGATTTTAAATGTAGTAACTGGTCAAGATAATGAAATCGTCTTGCTGATGTGGTGGCTGTGTGATTATGCTCTGTGTAAAAATGTATTGAACCTTACCCAGTTATGTGGGAATCTGAATAGTAAGATTGCATAACTCTTGCAGAAAGTAATATTGGCTATGAATAAAAAAGGCTTTGATTTTTAGGTACTTTCTCCCAGCATGTTGCCTGTTCCTTAGGTATAGTAATGCTGGAATTGGTGTTCATGCAAAATCTGTTAAGTATGTTTAAAACTTTTTTGTTATTGCTAAAATGCTTCATTCTCTATGAATGATCACTTAATGTCTTGTAAAATATTGTGGTATGATAGAATTTTCAGTGGTACCACAATGTTGGTTTTGTCTGTTTGGGGATTTTTTGAGCTATTTTGGTTTTGTTTTGGTTTTTGGTTTTTTTTTTTGCATGACATACCTTGCACTCTGAAGATGGAAACTGTAATGATTTGATCATACTGACTATTGAGGTGAACTTTTAATCTCTTGTGCAATTATTTCTGCTTTACTCATCTTGAAGTGTCTTTACATGTACTGTATAACATTCCATATCCATTTAACACTAAATAAATTTAATTCACTGGTTTTCTGGTAGCATGAGAGTAATTACAGATGTAGTATGTCAGCCCATTGTTTTAAATGTAAGCATGCACAATGCTATTAACAAACTACATAATTAGAGGGGAGTTTAATTGCATTAAATGGAAAAGCTTTTACTGTGGATGAAAACTGTAAATACTGTGGAAACTTGTGGTTTGGTAATATAGCTGGCTAACAGCTTTAGCTGACAGTGAAAATGTTTTAATAATAAATCTAGAAGTAAGCTTCAGTTTATGCATTTAAAACTCCATTATATGGTGCAGAACTGAAAAAGAAAACTGCCTTACGTTAGTTTTGTAAAATGAGAAGTAACCTGACAAGTCTTACCTTTCAGATAACTGCATAGGTAACAATGATACATACATGGGCAACAACAAAAGTACTGCTTAGATCACTTGTAATATTGCAATAAGTAAATAATTTTATCTCAGTAGGACCACTTACATGCTAGGAAGTTTCCAAAACCAGACTTCTGTAGAAGATTTAAATAGGTATGGGCACTAGAGGGCAGGAAAGCAAATGTTTGTAAGATTGAGGTGTTGCAAATCTTTAAACTATTAATCTTTAAACTATCTTGGGAGTAAAACTTCTAATAAAATTGCTTCTGAAAATTCCACTTATCTAGGTTATAAAAATTTAAAATTTAACTTCCCATTCTGCATTAGTTTTCTAAAAACTAAGTATAAAAACAACTGCTGCAACTAAGTAATTGAAAATGCTAGGGGTTTACTCATCACTTAAACCTTAGTTCTTAGAAATTAAAAAATAATTTAGCCACACTTTTTGGTCATGCATACTTGAAAAACTTAAGATTATCTATATAGTGCATGTTCAGGGGGTATGTTGGCACTAATTCTGAATGGATATAACTGTGTACAAGGAGTTGCCACTGTGTTTTCTACCCTGAACTTGCTCATTAAACACCATGCTGTGTGTGTACGTATATGTGTGTATGAGTACACACACACAGATGCTCTCACTCTCTCACTCCATTTATCAAGAAGCTGAGGAAAAGTAGAAAAAGTTACTTCTCCAGCAGACCACCATTGTTAGTCAGAGTGCTGCAGCCTAGGAGCCATTTCCCTTTCTTCTGCCCATCTCCTGAACTTAATGTAATAAGTTTTTCTCTTTTGCTGGAAACAGAATCCCATGGGCGACTTCCCTTCTGCCTTCCCAGTAAAAAAAGTATAAAGGTTTGATTTGTACCCATCTAACACAACAATACAGCAAGGACTGCTTTGTCACCTTCAGTGAACTGCACCATCAGACTGCCCCAGGTCTTGCCCCTCTGTGGTTCTTGGAGTTGTGCTTTTCCTGCGCCCACTGAAGTTGCAGTAGGTGGAGATGGTGTCAGCAAGGGAAGTGCTATCGTTGAGGGTGCAGAGGGAGGCCTGTGCCTCTCTTTGCCCCTCTCCAGCAAGCATAAGCAATGGAACTTCTGAGAGTATCAAAGGGTTTCTTCCCTCTGCCTGCAGCTCACTAGATCAGAAAAAGCTGCAGGCAGCCAGAACAGAATGCAAGATAAAAAGAAAAAGCATGTAGATGACTGGTTTGAAGTTAACATGTTCTGCCCTAAAAAGGGCCAAGGGTGGTAACTGAGAGAAGACAGACAGGAGGGGAGATAAAATAAAAGAACTAACAGCAACGTGTAAAAAAAGAAAGGTGAGTTCTACACGCACTGAAAAGTTACAGTAGGAATAACTAATATAATTATTAGGAGTGTCCAGGACAATCAGGGTACGTCAACTTCCCAACTTAGGGTGGGAATCATTTCTGCCTAATCTAATTTTGAGTTAAAACAGCAAACAAGCGTTGATGTGACATTACAGGGATTTCAAAATGCCTCCTTATGAAAAGAGCACGTGTTCAGGAGGAGAAAGTTGCAGCCAGTTCAAAGCATTAACATTAGATGTGGGAAATAATGTGTGCAAGACAAAGAAATAGGGTTTAAAAACAAAGGCAAACGTCCTGTACAGCAGTTCTTAAAAACATTGGTTTTGAAGCATTGATTATCAGATACAAGCTGAAAAAACACAGTAGGTCAGCATCCCAGTAAATTAAAGTGTCACATTAAGTCATGTACCTGGATTCTGCCTAGTGGTAGGATGTATATGGGGGGTGGGGATGGGGATTTTAATGCAGCCAGAAGGAAGTAGAGGTCAGCTCCATCTCTCCATCTGTAATCTTGATAAAACTGAAGTTTATTCAGCTGCAACTGGAGTATGTTTCAGCTGGGATCTTAATGGGTGGCAGCGAAGGGGGTTGAGGTGGTTTCTTACATGGCACAATTGCAGTGTACACGATGCTGTGGCACAACGTGTGGTGACACAGCTAGGGAAATGCTTACTTGCAAAGCTTTTAAGTTAGGACCATTAAGAGTTTTCAAAAGATCATAGTAGTAGCATTTGCAAACCTTAGTATTTCAAATAGATGTAAATTGTTAAAGGAGCGAAAGAAAATACACTAGTGCTTAAGAGCTTATGATTGAGTGAGACTTTTTGTAGTTGAGAAAGCAGCTTCATGTCAGCTGATAATACTGTTTGCAGATCTAGGCTGGTACATGGGGGAAAGGATTAATACTGAATGGTAACACTAATAGAAATAGCCTGAGAAATGGTCTTGAAAGTAGTCACTATTTCTGGGCTAGTGGTGTATGGCTTTATGTTGTCTAGCTGCTCTTCAAAAAGGTAACATTTTCCAGCAATATGTTTGGAAGCTTATTTCACAGTATAGAAGTAGAACTTCTTCCTAGCCTGGTAAAGAAGCAGGTAAATAAATTAAGCAAGTAAATAGGATTGATGTCTGAGTAGAAGTGAAGTTATATGAACAAAGGAAAAAATTGATTTTGTTAACAGTAAATCAATTAGTGTATATAATATTTATGACCCAACTGAGGAGGATATTGTATCTAATAGTTTTTAATTATTGAAGTAGTCAAAGGGGAAGCTGGCAGCAGTTACATTAAGTATTGTTTTAATTAATGACAGAATGAACTACCAAGCAGTCCAAAAGTATCACCTTTAAATAAATAAATATGTATATAGTGACCTGATATAGTGGTAAAATATTTCCCTACTTGGAAATATTTTACTGAAGCATTGCAAACATGCAATAGAATAAATTAGATTTGGGTTGGTATTAAAGGGCTTCATTTTGAATAATAAAGATTCATTAGAGCACCTGTTTTCATA